TCACTGTAGTTGTGGTCGTCTTCACCACGAGTTCGGTCACCACTTTCAGCGTCTCGACGACCGATATATAGCCCAAGCGTTGGGCGATCGACAGCGCTGTCTGGCCCTGACTAGTGATGGCGTTCGGCGAGGCCTTGTGCTCGAGCAGTGTGTTGACGATGGCTGTGTGTCCCTGTTGTGCCGCCTGATGTAATGGTGTGTAGCCATGCTATCAATCAAAAACACACAATATTTAATTATTCATTTACGTAATCATTTAATTGCTTTAAACACTTACAGCATTGGTTGCGTTCACATCAGCGCCTAAAGGCATTGAGACAATAAGCAATAAAAACAATTAATAATAAATTAAATGAACGTTAATTGTTTGGTAAAAATGCAATCACAAAAACAAGACATACCGTTCTGTAGGAGGAATCTAACCATATTGAGTTGCCCAAAATGGGAGGCCACGTGCAGCGGTGTGTAACCGGCTTTGGTTTGCGGCGATATTTCCACCCGATTTCTGGCCAGAATTGTCGCCACATTCACTCTGTCCTCCTGAGCGCACAAATGCAATGGAGTCAACGAGTTCTTGGCCTTCACGTTGATATCTGCCTGATGTCCAATGAGAAGAGTGGCCATTTCGTTGTGGCCCTCCTGACACGCCAAATGCAATGGCGTAAAACCGGCCTAAATTGTCGACAAAAAATCACAATTAATAAATTGTCTTAAAATTGATCACAAGAATGGCTTACTTTAGACTCGGCGTTAGCTTTGGCGCCGTACTCAAGAAGAGTGGTCGCGATATCCATTTGGTTCTTACGGGCGGCGATATGGAGAGGACAGTAGCCGTTCTTAGCGGTCGCGTGAGGCGACGCCCCCTTTTCCAGGAGCAGTAGCGCCACATTGACGTGATCGTAATGAGCCGCGCAATGCAATGGAGTCACATTGTTCTGCAAATTATCAAACATCAGTTAATCTATACAATTATAATTAATGGTCTCTCCATCTGCACCAACCTTTCCCTGTGCATCGACGGGCGCGTCTTTGCTGATGAGAAGTCGGGCCACTTTAATGTTTCCATATTTAGCCGCCAAATGCAATGGAGTGAACCCTTTCTGTTCAAACATAGGGCAACAACACATTTAATAACTATATAATTAACACAATTCACATGCAATTAAATCATACTTTAGTGGTGGCGTTAAGAGAAGCGCCGTGTTCTAGAAGTACGGCCGCCACCTCGTCCTGACCCTCTTTCGCCGCGATGTGCAGAGGAGTGTACATGTCTTTAGTGGTGGCGTCGATGTCAGCGCCATTCTGGAGCAGTAGACCAACGATATCGACATTTCCGAGACGGGACGCGATGTGTAGCGGCGTCTGTTGCTCTCTGGCCTTAGCGTCCACTTGTGCACCATTTCTCAGCAAAATCCTAATTATATCGGTTTGATTGGCTCTGGCGGCCAAATGCAATGGTGTCTCCCCTCTGACGGTCGGCACGTCGGCGTTGGCCAAGTGTTGGATCAGATATATGACAATATTCATGCAGCCCATGAACGCCGCCACATGTAGTGGAGTCAAACCGGATTCGGTGGTCGACTCGATGGACGCGCCGTGTTTTAGCAGCAGTTCCACCACTTTTATCCGATTCTTTTTGCACGCGATATGCAGTGGCGTAAAGCCGTTCAGCGCCCGTGCGTTCGGGTCTGCCTTACGATCCAATAGAAGTTTAGCTACTCTTACGTGACCGCAATGGGCCGACACGTGAAGGGCTGTCAAATAGTCCTTAAAGTGGGCAATAAAATGATAAAACTGTAGTTAATTGGCACATAAAACATATATGGTATGGCTTACCACAGTTATATCATCTACAGGTGCCTTATGGAACAGCAGTATACGAGCGCTATCGACGTGATCGCCTAAACACACGATACAATTCATGTTAAATCATTTTTGTCGACAAAATTATGTTATTATTTGCAGCGTATTTGTGATGAAGAACTGAAAGCTTTTATATAAGCCGTTATGTCTAATATAATACAGAGAATTATATACGAAAATAATGGGAAACAACGATAAATCAGTCGATATTAAACGACTGAAAGCATTGCTTCCGGTTTTTGTCAAATGATACTAATGTTTGTCAGCAATAAATATTTAGACATTAATTTTGTGACTCCAAGAACTCAAACTTCAATATATAAAGTAAATGTAAATCTAATATATTATGGATAGCGAGGAATACAAGAGCGAAGCATACCTTGAGCTGCCATATGAAGAGGTGCCAAACCATTCTTCAAGAATTAAACAAATATTGACATTAATTATAAGCACAAAAATATAACTCTATTAAAAATACCAAACCTTTGTTTTGGCAGAAATAGGAGCTCCTCTTTCGAGCAGTAGGTCGACAACAGCCTCGTGTCCGCTACGGGCGGCGCAGTGAAGGGGTGTCAGTCCATCTCTGGTGGCGGCGTCTATCTTAGCCTTGCGGTCGAGCAGAAGCGAAACCATATTGACTTTTCCCCATTTGGCCGCCACGTGAATGGGTGTGATGTGATGTTTGGCCACAAAGTTCACGTCCGCGTTCTTGTCCAGAAGGAGAGCCGCGATGTTTTCGTTGCCGTAATGGGAAGCGATGTGAAGGGGAGTAAAGCCAGACTTGGAGGTGACGTCTGGGTTGTGGTCGTTCTGGAGGAGCAGAGCGGCGGCCTTACAGTCATCCTTCTTGGCCGCCACGTGAAGGGCCGGTAATCGCACTTTGCCTTTGGTGTCGTTCTCGAGGAGTACGGCCACCACTTTGTCGTGACCCTGTTGTAGGGCTACGGCCAACGGCGTAAAGCCATCCTCAGTGGCCAGACTCTGGTTCGCGCCGTTAGACAACAAATATCTGACAACCGAGTCGTGGTTCTCCTGAGCGGCCATATAGAGCGGCGAAAAGCCATTAAGCGATTGAACGTTAACATTGGCTCCATTTTGGATCAACACTTTCACCACTTCTAGCTGTCCGGCGAGGGATGCGATATGAAGAGCAGTATTGCCTTAATTTGGGAATTGTTTTATGAATACGTAAATCATTTGGTNAAAAGCCATTAAGCGATTGAACGTTAACATTGGCTCCATTTTGGATCAACACTTTCACCACTTCTAGCTGTCCGGCGAGGGATGCGATATGAAGAGCAGTATTGCCTTAATTTGGGAATTGTTTTATGAATACGTAAATCATTTGGTTTTTATGCGAGAAATAAAAATAAAATAAAATTCAAAATCAAATCTAGAGAAACAGATGCAATGCATTAGGAGTTGTCGGTTCCGAACCATACCTTTCTGTAATATAAAAGCAAAACAAAAAAAGTTTTATTACAATTGTTTTATTATAAGAGAAAAATAATTTATTATTAATATAACGAAATGACATAAAATAATGAAAATGAGAGCAAAAACAAAAAATGAGACTCACTTTTGTGGCTGCGTTTACATTAGCGCCTCTCTTCAAAAGCTCCGTAACCACAGAGACGTGTCCTTCTTTCGAAGCCAAGTGAAGAGCGTTCAGACCGTTCGCATTACTCGTGTTGATATCGATACTGCTCTTCAGATACTCCAACACTTTGTCCAAATTGCCAGCTCTGGCCGCCCGTAGGAAACTCGCGTTCCCATCGGTCTATCAAATAAATATTCAACATTTTAAATTGTTTCATACATTCAGCTAAACATATGTTCATAAATATTAAATACAATTGAAATGAAAAGTCAGCGAATATATATCAAACACTAAATAAACACAATGTATAATATATTGCGCGAAGAATTCCTCGCGAATAACTGATCAGTCAATCAATTATTTAGTACTAAAAATAGATCTCATTTTTTGTGATAAATTGTTTCCCTTATTGAAAGTGAAGGCAATTCATATTCAAAGACATAATTATAATGAAAAATATGAACAAAAAAATATTGCAATATTTCACACGAGTCTCACTTTTTTAGTGACGACCGTAAGTATAAGGAGCGTTAAAGTGGTCGCTGCGGTCAATATTAGTGCGATATCATCCACAATAAGAACCATCACTTCAATGATAACATACACCACTACAAGAAATCACTATCTAATTACTCAAACACAATGTCCTAAATATAAAGATAATTTAATTATCCAAACATTATGTGAACGCAAAACAACACCAGAATTCACTCATATAATGGATTTCTTAACAAAAAATCAATAAAAATAAGAAACAAAAATTGAAAATGAAATATAATTCATACAAAAAATATAGCAATTTATATCTAAAATGAAAATAATTCTTGGTTTATATGGTCTGATAGGAGAGAACGGGATGTGATTTGAGTAAACCTTTTAAATAACAATGAAAAGCAATAATATATTTTAGACAATCATAATCTCCTCAAGAATTTGTATATTTTTTGTTATTTATGTATTTATCTGAAAATACTTCACAGAAAACATTTGTTTGAATTGTTTTTATCAGAATATAATTTAATTGAATTATATATCAAATCATGAAATATAAGTATGAGATAAGAAATGACAGACAAATGCTATATAAATATAAGACAATAAGCGATGCAAATGTCATATATTGTCATCAAATAAATGTAAACACTTTTCCTTTCACTTCAAACACCAATTGAAAGCCATTTCAATGGCTATTGGTTTGTAAATCATACTTATATTTAACACACATTTTACAATACAATGTATACTTCGGGAGAAAAACCAATAGTTTTATGTGTGAACTAAATAATCAATAAATGAATGAATAATAATTCAAATGAAATAATAATAATAAATCAATATTAATAGTAAACTGTGTTTTTGTGTGTTATGTATGAAAATCAATACCAAATTGATTTCTAATTCACTTGTAATCCATATTTAAACGTCAAAATCATATATTATATGGACTTTAATATACATTTAAAAGTCTATAAATAAGTGTTAATTTGAAAATAGAGCCCATATTTTGCTCAATCAATTCAATACACATTTCATAACACATATTAAATATGAGTTTTGAAATTAAAACCCAAATTAATTGCTTATAATTTGTAAACAATATCTAAATGACGGCAAGAAATAACAAAAACAACTCAAAAAATATAAATAAATAAAAAGCCATTCAATCGTTTGGAAATGTATTTAAATAACAATCAATACTATATTTAATAGTATTGTAACCAAAAGTAATTGTATTGTGAATAACGGGAAGTGATTTAATAATAATAAATATATTAAATAACACCAAAAATACACAACAATTATATTGTAATTATAATGAGTATGTATTATACGATAAAGTGATGGTAAGTATTGTCGAAGTGATTGAATACCTGATGAGATGGTGGCTCTTGTTGTGGATTAGTTTCGGTTACCATTGCGGAGATAATTCACAGACAATTGTCATCACATTTAACACAATTATAATTAATAAATAATAAGTATTTCTCGCAATTGAGTGGTAATTTGTGCCGTATTTTGAGAGTCAATATGTCTGTTGACGTGAGAAATAATGTCAGCGTTTAATACATTTGGGATAAACAGCCATAAAATGCCGGTTTGTTTGGCGTCTCGTCTTTTCTGTGGAGAGACTTCACTATTGAGTGAATGCGAGAAAAACGAGTCATTCGTTCGCTCCTAACGTTTGGGGTTTCGCCTCTCCGTAAAGCCTATCGTTAGTCACTCGCTATGTATTACACTCTGTATTACAGGCCGTTGTTTCCCATTCAATACAATACAATGCTATAACACTTCCCACTACTGAATAGTCTATGGCACACAACTTATATCCAAACCTAACTTTGATCTCCATTTACACCGATTTATTTATTTTTTCTATGATTTCATCTCATCTCTGGTTACATAATATTGTATTTTCTTATATCTATTGTCATTTGTATTATGCGTTTAGAAAATCTCTCGCATTGATTATGGTTGACATGTAATGTCTACTCTCTTTTTTGTGTCCATTATTTTGGATTTTTCATTCAATATTTTTTTCGTTTAACTTTTCTGTCAGACTTTTTTCTCATCTCCACTCCTGTGGTGACTATTAATAGGCTTCAATACAAATGTCATTATTATGTCATAGAGTTGTTGTAATTATAGTTTCCGCTTTGAGTTAACTATTTAAAAACTCTTTCAAACACTACTTTTACACTTTGTGTTTAATTATAGTCTCATTTAAACTTTAAATTTGATTAACAGAAATATTGGGACACAAAACAAATGGAAATGTTTTCGTTATTCATAACTTTTATATACCGATTGTTTAACTGTATTTGTGTCTGATATTAAAATCCATGTTTGTCTGAGTTTTGCCTCTTTTGCCCCATATTTCTCTCTCTCTTGTTACATAATATTGTATTTTATGATATCTATTGTCATTTGTATTATGCGTTTAGAAAATCTCTCGCATTGATTATGGTTGACATGTAATGTCTACTCTCTTTTTTGTGTCCATTATTTTGATTTTTC